TTTTAACGTCTAGGGGGGGGGAGGGTTTGTTTTGACGCCAGGGGTGGAGTGGTGGAGGGTTTGTTTTAACGCTCCATAGCTGCCCATATACTACTACTATGGTTAACTGCTCTTTATTAATTTTGTCGTCATCGGCATCCATAGTGCCAAATAATGCCTTCGCGATTGAGCCTATTGCGTTTATTAGGCCTCTTTTTTTATTAGGTGCCATTTTATACAGTTTTTTTTTCTACTAACTGTTGTATTTTATTATGCTCTTTTTCGAGCACTGTATATAAATTTTTGCAAGATTCTTTACCTGCTAATAATATCTGGCATAATTGCTTCGTCCGCATGTCTTCTTGTAATTGATTTGCTCTCTTTGCCAATGATGTGGTATCCGTTTTTATCACTAGTTTCCAGTATCCTTCGATGGGTAACAATTTCCTGATTTTTTCGAAATAAATTCCAGGATTGTGGTTGAACCTTTCAATTTGGTAAGGCGGGTTGGTGACCCGTCCGTCAGCCGCATGGATCCACATTATGATTCTGCAATTAATTGTTGCTATTTATTTGTCTCACCCGTTTCATTTTTTCCTCGTGTCTAATTTCTCTTCAGTTTAACATACCTCTTTGTTTATCATGTGAGAGTTCTCGCTCTCTCACGTAACTTTATCTATAAAGTTTCGTATTTAATATGCTTAGCATTTGGTTTCTCTTCTTCTGAGCTTCGTTAGGCTTTTATTCCTGCTAAGTCTTTTAGTTGCTCACGAGTTATTTTCGTGACCACTTTTACTATATGTATTTTACCGTTACTCCCTTTGTCGCGGAGGTATTTGACGATGAGGATCAGGAGTGTCCTCTAGTCGCGGGTCCTGCTCCTTATTTCCCAATAGGGGAGGAGGAGAGTGACGTTGGAGTCGGAGTGACTTACTCGGATATTGAAGATGAGATTTCTGATGATCCAGTGGAGGTCATTTACATCTCTGACGAGGAGGAAGATATAGGAGATGAAGAAAACGAGGTCGAATTTCTCGAACTCGTCGAGGATCTTGAGGATTTGAAAGAGGACGAATTTCTCCTCTTAGCCCATTTTATGCCGCCCCCCGAATCAGATTCATGATGAACCGATAGAATATTAATTTTCATAACTCTTGCTAGTAGTTTTGGTGTAGTGCTGTCTAGTGCTCTTTAGCTTCAATGTTAGTGTAGTATTCCTATTATAAGTTTTTATTCGGATTTTGGATTATATCTCCCAGTATTTACTGCTTCTACTGGTGAGTTCTATTCATTTCTTATTTTTAGCACTAATTATTTATAAACGCTTTTAGACGGTTTACGTGCGTGCACAGCGTTTTTCGTCCCTTTTTTATCGTGTAGTTTACATTGGAATTTTTCTCGATTATTATATAGGGACCTATCCACGGGGATTCTAATTTTCGCGATCTTCCCCGCCGCACTGTTTCATCGTATAAGAGTACTTCGTCTCCTATTTTAAATTTTACTTCTTTTGCGTTTCTATCTTGATATGCTTTTGCTTTTTGCTTTTCTAGCTTTAATTGCTCTTTTGCAATTTTATTTACTGCGCGTATTCTTTCTTTTAGTTCCTGCGCGTAATTATCGTAATTATAAGATAATTTGGGTGGGCTTAATAAGGCTGTCGGCAATGTAGCCTTGTGTCCGTACATTAACTCAAACGGCGTTGTTCGTGCTTGAATTGCGCAAGCCCGCGTTTTTCTTTCTTTCTTTCTAGTTTCCATTCATTTCTTGATTTTAGGTTTAAGTTGGCAGGCCCGATTATCACTGTGATGTGATTACGACAACTAGCAAGCGTGTTTATTTTATGTTCGTTACGATTAGATATAAAAATTATATCGAATAAAGCAAGTTTAACAGTTTACTCAAAGCAGACATTACAGTCCATTTCCACAAAAACATATGGTCCGAACGAACCGGATAAGGAAAAGCATTCGCACAAGAAGAATAAAAAAGGCAAGCCCTCATAGGCACAAGCAAACGAGTTCACAAGCAAATTCACAAGCAAACGAGTTCACAAGCAAACGAGTCCACAAGCAAATTCACAAGCAAACGAGTTCACGAGCAAACGAGGCCACGAACAATCAAATTCGGGCAAACAGCGGATTGTCGAGAAATAACATATCGACGCGCATACGCAGGTAAGGTTGTGACCGGATAATTGTAATTAATTTCAAAAATCCCATGGGTTGCCTTTAATTTAATAATTATTAAAACAATATATTTACAACCGTATATTTGAGAAACTCAATTAATACTAGGGTGTAACGGCCTATTACGGTTGGAGCTGGATCTTCGTTGCTTTAAATAATTCAATCTTGAATTACTAATATATACTATATATGTACTTGCATATATACCATATTGTAGTCTTTTTCAAACTGCGCGCCGAATTTTTTCCGGACTAAATAAACGCAATTAAAACTACTCTAGTAATCGCGAATTAAATTGACAAACAATTTAATAATTTGATGCTACAATCAAGCATCATATATTATAAAGATGTTAATCTATAAAAACTATTAATAAATTTAATAATTTAATAATTATTACTTAAAATCACTCAAGGTGACTTACATGGTCGCCACTCTGTTTATCCGAGTTAACAGAGAAGGATAGAGCCTGCTTTAGCGATCCTCGTCCAGCCTGTTGCTATGCGGTAAAAGGGGTTGGATCTCGTCCTTCCTTCCTTCCTTCGCTCGTGGTTGGCTCTCCGCTTGGCTCAAGTTCGTCGAAATTACGACGTCGTGCGTAGCGCGTAATTATTTATTTAATTTAAGTGAGAGTGGAATTAATTAATGGCCACGTGTTCAACAAAGATAGAATTTATTGAATAAAATGAACAAATAATTATAACGGGCCTCACACACACTAATCTCACTCACACGCGCACATTCACGCAATTCGAGACTATTAAATTATCTCGCTTTGATTAATGGTCACGCGATATGTCGCGTCGTGTCGCACCTATGGTATGATGCAACTGGTTGCTATGCGGATCTCGCGGTACTTTCTAACGTCGCGATTTCCGTAATTTACGCATGTACTTGCGTCTTCGCTTTACGCGGAACGAATCTATTAAAGATTATTCGAGAAACCGCGTCTTACGATGTTGCGCAATATTAATCTCACTGAAACTCGGTTTTAACTCTTAATTCGCCTTTTCGCGAACAAATTAGCCTTTGCACGGCTATAATTAGTAAACGCGCGTTGTTCGTCACGACTTCCGTCGCTTTTTATCGCGAAACTACGCGTTTCTTTGTGTGAGTCGCGAGCGGTCTTCCGCACGTCCGTTCTACTCGGCTTGGTAACTGCGACTGACTGGCAAGATGGCTGTCCTACCAGCCAAGATGTCCAAGAAGAAACGGTGCGTTCCGTTTCCCCTGGTGTGTACTATTTTCCCGGATCTAGTAAGTATCCGGTAACTCATTCATTCTGCCCTTAGAAGGTTACAAATAATTTAAATAATTCGGAATTAACTCCCTGAACATAAAATATAAGTGGACTTTTGCTTTTACATAAATATTTAAGCTAATAATTAATTATTTAAGTGAGATGATTTCGGCAACCAATCAAATAATTCCAATACTAGTAAAATCGTTAAAATTGCTTTGAATAATTCGCATTGACTCTAAATAATTGTAAATAATTCGGGTTTTGTTAAATAAATTATGTTATTGCCGAAATAATTCAGATTAATTAAATAATTATCGAAATCTTAACATGCGAGTATGTATGCACCTTAAATAATTCGTAGGCCTTGTGACTAGTGCCTAAGTGCTTCTAAATAATTTCAAAAATTTATAATTAATTTGTTTAAGTCTGGTTTTGTCCAGAATAAATGCTAAATAGCCTATATGTGATGTTTTCACCTGAATTAATTCGTATGTTAAGTTTTGGGTCCATTAAGGTATAGTATATGCATTTTACTGCTACGTCGAATTAATTGAAAATGTTTTTTGGAAATACTTTAAATAATTGATTTGGACTTTGAATAATTTCTTTTGACTCTAAATAATTGTACAATGGTACTAAATAATTAATTGAATGGTTTTTAACCAAGTTTTTGACTTTATATAATTTTTATGTTATGTCCTTGTCTAACTTACGCAATAATTATGCGATCTCTTTCTAACTAAGTAGAAGTGTTCCAATTAATTCGGGGTTGATGAAATAATTACAGAATGAGTAAAATAATTCGGCGAACATGCCGTTGTGTCAGAATAATTAAAATTAAGTGTTTAACAAACCTTTTTGGTAAGTCTTCGCTTTTCGGCGGTTTCTAATAACGTTTTTGTTTTCAGGGTTTCCAGATCAATCTCAGCGTGTATTTTGGTAAGTATCGGTAAGTATCTCTATATTTCTAATCTGTATTTATTGTGACATGCTCTATAATTAATTTTCTTTATTTATTTTCAGGTTATCACGCTGAATGTCCTTGGTTCGCCTGTCGGCTGCAGTGTTCTACAGGATTATAGGTAGGTTGAAATCTTTGTTATAATTATATTTTTTAGGAAATAGAAACATATAAAACTTTATTGATAGCATATATATGAAATAATTAACTGTTTAATATATTGTCGCCTTTGGACATAGAAATAATTAACTGACTTTATAAAATAACATAATATATAGTTTTAACGACGATCCGCCGTGTGTACGTCAAACGTTTACATAAATTAAAGGAAAACATAAAAATAATATCCCAACGTTTCTTATATTAACTTTGTGGGGTTTGGGTCATCGTGGATGCTTGAATGTTGTCCCCCTGGAGAGATTCTGTGCCTATTGCTGTCTCCTGGATTGTGTGCGTTGGAATTCCCTTGGTGTCGTCTGATGTTGTCAGCTGTTGGTCTGTCGTTTGTTGTACTTCGACCTATAATTAATTTAGCCTTTTCTGTATTTATTTGGCTAATGGGAAAATTAGCGGACGGTTTCAAGGTTAGGGTAACCTATAAAACACATAATAAGAGCAACATTCAAACATGAATAGTGACAACAAAAAAGAGAAGTTAAAGGGTCTTAATCGCCAACGAGGAGCGATAAAAGCAAAGCTTACATCATTTAGAATATTCTTAGAAACGTTAGAAGATCGCGACAGCATAAAAGAACACGAAATCATAAATTTAGAACACAGACTCGATAGAATCAAAGAAATAATTATCGACTACGATGCATGTCAAGGCGAAATTGAACAGTTAACGGAAGAAGACACGATAGAAGAGTGTTTTACGCAAAGAGCCGACTTCGAGGCGAATTTCTATCAATGGACAGCCAAAGCACAAAAACGTCTCAACGACTTAAAACCCGAGATAGATAGAGCGGAATCGGAACAAGCAACACGAAATCCAACAACATCACATCGCAAGGTCAAACTTCCTCAGCTAAAACTCCCACAATTTGACGGATCGTACGATAAATGGCCTAAATTTCACGACATGTTCAAATCGCTCATTCACACAGACAAACAGATAGACACAATCGCAAAGTTTCAATATCTACAAGGATCTCTTTCAGGTGAAGCGTTGACAGTACTCGACGAGCTCGACGTATCAGAGGCCAATTACGAAGCAGCATGGGAACTATTGGTCGCGAGGTATCAAAATAAAGGTCTAATGATACACAAACACATTGAGGGAATAGTCGAATATCCAAAATTGGCGAAGGAAAATCATGAGTATTTGCGAAAATTGGTAGACGTTATGCGAGGGCATATGCGCGCATTAACGACATTAGAACAACCTGTAGAAACATGGGATAGCCTATTAATATATTTAATTTCAAGCAAGCTCGCTACAACTTCCAAGAACGAATGGGAGAAGGAAATAATAGAGGAGCAAGACGAGTTACCCAGCATACAAAGTTTCTTCAATTTCTTAGAAAAACGTTGTCAATTGTTAGAGAAGACAGACAAACATACAAAGAGCTCAGGTGAATCACAAACGGCGCGAACGGCGAACAAGCACAAGAACAACCCAACGGCGCTCGCCCACGCTAGCGTGACAAAAGGGAACTGCATACTATGCGGGGAAACGCACGCATTGTTTGCGTGCAAATCCTTTCTAGAAATGCCAATAAGCACACGAATAGAACAAGTAAAGACGAAGAAAGCATGTCTAAATTGTCTGAGGCCGGGTCACATAGCGATCAATTGTAGGTCACAAAAATGTCGCAAATGTGGAAAGTCACACAACACACTATTGCATCTAGGAGAAGTTAACAGTAGTGAAAAGGTAAACGGGGAAGAAAAATTAATTCCTCGAAAACAAGCAACCGGCGATGAAAAAAGAGAAATTGTATCAACGCACGTGGCAAACAAGGAACCGATACATCGTATTGCCCACTGCAATAGTGGAGATCGTTGGTGGAGCCGGACAGACACGCAAATGCAATGTGCTCTTGGATTCAGGTTCACAATCCAATTTCATGACGGCCAACCTGTGTAACAAATTAGGGCTTCGCACTACAAAGGCAGACATATCGGTGTCCGGAATAAATCAAATCGAAACAAAAATCTTAGAAACAGCAAGAACAAGAATCAAATCCATGCACGGTGACTTTGAAGAGGAATTGATATTCATGGTAGTCCCCAAAATTACTGCACGGCTGCCTAACGAACCATTGATATTTCAAGGAGAGAACATACCTTCAAATATCTCTCTCGCAGATCCCGAGTTTTACAAACCCAAGAGGATCGATTTATTGATAGGAGTCGATTTGTTTTGGGACGTAATCAGCTGTGAGCCATCAGAATACCCATACTTACGCAAAACAAAATTGGGATACATAATTGCCGGGAAACTACCATCGAAAAAAGACGCGGGAAGGTATGTGGACACACTATGTCACCTGATCACTAACGACGGCGAACTATCGCATGATCTACAACGATTTTGGGAAATAGAAGAGCTTCCTTTGAAGCATAGTTACTCTTCGGAAGAACAGGCGTGTGAAGAACATTTCACAAAGACCACTAAACGAGACACAGACGGCAGATTCATCGTCAGCATACCGTTCAAGGCAACTCCGGACGAATTGGGCGATTCCCGTGGAATAGCAGAACGACGACTCAAATCGTTGGAACGAAGACTACAGAAGAACAAAAGAATGCGAGAACAATACACAGCGTTTTTACGCAGATATGAAGAGCTCGGGCATATGACCAGGGTAGCACATGACGATCACGCAAGTCCCGTTTGTTATTTATCACATCACGGCGTAATGAAAGAAAGCAGTCTCACTACAAAGTTGCGAGTCGTTTTTAACGCCTCCGCTCCGACATCCACTGGCGTGTCCATTAACGATTTGCAAATGGTCGGACCCACTATTCAACAAGAGCTATTAACCATACTTTTGAGTTTCAGACAACATCCATACGTCGTGGATGCTGATATAGCAATGATGTATCGACAAGTTAACATCGAGCCAACACAAAGATCACTACAGCAAATTCTCTGGAGGGAAGACCCTGGAGATCCTATCGTCGAGTATCAACTCAACACCATCACGTATGGAATGTCTTCTGGGGAGTGCATTTCTAGCCATCCGATGCCTATTCAGCCTAGCCGAGGAGTATCAAGAGACATTTCCTGAAGCTGCCGACATCATAAAAAAGTGCATGTACGTCGATGACGTATTGTTGGGAGCACCAACGCGAGACAAAGTAGTCCAACTTGCCACCGACGTATCACGTATCTTGACAGCGGGATGTTTTGAATTACGAAAATGGATTTCAAACGACCCACAAACACTCATAAACATCGGTAGGTCGGACTGCGATCATGAACTCATCAAGCTTGGAGAGAACGAATCAACCAAAACGTTAGGTTTATCCTGGTCATCTACAAGGGATGAACTGATATACCAGGTAGCAGTAGAACCCGATGTCGAGCCCGCGACGAAACGTTCTGTGTTGTCATTGATAGCTCGCGTGTTCGATCCATTGGGCATGCTAGGTCCTAGCGTCATAATCACAAAAATGATGCTTCAACAATTGTGGAAATTGAAACTCTCATGGGACGAACCCCTCCCGGAGGAAATTCAATCGGAATGGAGACGATTCATAAAGGAATTTAACTTGTTCAATAGCTTACGCATACCGCGTCAAGTTTGTTGCGAGTCACCAAGTCGTGTCGAGATTCATGGATTTTCGGACGCGAGAGAGCTTATGGAGCTTGTATATATATTCGATCAACCAGCGAAGCAGGCACGACGTTCGTACGACTATTGTGTGCCAAGACCAAGGTGGCACCAGTCAAGGCAATGACCATGCCGAAATTGGAACTGACAGCCGCGCATCTCATGTCAAAGTTGATGGTCAAGGTAAAGGCATCGCTAAGTTTGCATGTAGATGACATATTATTGGAGTGATTCTACCATCGTTTTGGGATGGATAAAAACTGAGCCATGTCGGCTACAGACGTTCGTGCGTAATCGGATAGCAGATATACAAGCATCATCATCCACTGCGAGTTGGAGACATGTTCCATCTACCGACAATCCGGCGGACCTTGCATCAAGAGGAGTGTCCCCGAAGCACTTGGCGGAGCGAAGACTATGGTGGCATGGACCAAGCTGGTTGAGTGAGTCCGTGAAGCAATGGCCTGAACAATACATCAACGAAAGCAATAATTCATCCGAAATGGAAGAGACGTCGATCCAGTCAAATGTTGCATTACTAGTCACAAAGTCTCCGGCAATTATCAAGTTTACGAATCATTCCAAGCTGGGAAAATTGACCAGAATAATGGCGTATTGTATAAGATACATCAATATCGTTATACATAAACGTTCATATAGAAGTCCTCTCACGGCAGAGGAAATACAACAAGCGACGATAGTATTGGTGAGACTGGCGCAACGGGAATCATTCACAGAAGAGAAACGCACCTTATCTGCGGGTAAGGCACTGAGCAGAAGAAGTAAACTACATAACTTAAACGCGTTTTTACATGAAGACAATACATTACGCGTGGGAGGACGTTTAGGTCGATCCGACTTCAATTTTGACAAGAGACAACCGATGATACTCTCTTCAAAACATCATCTGACCAAGCTCGTGTTTGAAAGCGAACATGAGCGATTGTTGCACGCCGGACCTCAAGCACTGTTGGCGCAAGTAAAAGAACAGTACTGGCCAATATCAGGTAGAAATTTAGCCCGTCAAGTGGTACAACGCTGCATCCGATGCTTTCGTAACAAACCCAAGACAATCACGCCCCAGATGGCCGACCTACATCGCGATCGAGTCAATCCCGCTCCGGCTTTCTACAACACAGGAGTTGACTATGCCGGACCAATCAACACTAAGGACCGCAAAGGACGAGGCGGCAAGATTTACAAATCCTATATTTGTTTGTTCATCTGTTTAACAACCAAGGCCATCCATTTGGAATTGGTTTCCAATCTCAGTACGGAGGGTTTCATATTGGCTCTGCGCAGGTTTGTGGCACGACGAGGTATACCCAACAAAATATCATCTGATAATGGTACTAACTTTGTGGGAGCGCATTCCGAATTATGTCGACTTGGGGAATTTCTCAACAAGAATGAAAATAAATTATGCGACAAGTTGATAGCTGAAAGGATTAATTGGAGTTTCATCCTGGCATATTCACCGCATTTTGGAGGCATCTGGGAGGCTGGCATAAAATCAACCAAATACTACCTGAAACGAGTCATGGGAGATGCGTCACTAACATTTGAAGAGTTATACAGCTTATTAGTGCAAATAGAGTCCATCCTTAATTCGCGGCCTCTATCACCATTGTCATCTCATCCTGATGATTTGCTGCCTCTAACTCCTGCTCATTTTTTGGTTGGGCGCGCTTTAACAGCAGTGCCGTGCTCGGACCTAACCAACGTCTAGGAATCTCGTTTGTCGCGATATCAAAGAATACAACAAATTCAGCAGAACTTTTGGAAACGTTGGTCCAAAGAATTCATATCTGAACTGCAGTGTCGCACGAAATGGAAAACCGATCAAGGAACACTCAAAACCGAGGACTTGGTACTTATAAAGGATGATAATCTGCCCCCACTACGTTGGCGCCTTGGCAGAGTTATTGAGCTACATCCTGGAATAGACTCGGTAGCACGAGCAGCTACAGTGAAAACTGCTAAGGGAGTTATTCGTCGTGCAACCGTCAAGTTGTGCCCTTTGCCGATGGAAACAACGCCTAGCGAAGCAAATCCCGGACTACACGGTGGCGAACTAAGGATCAACGTGCTTAGTGTTTAAGTTACTTCTAAATTAGTAGTTATTAATGTTTCAATTATTCGATATTTCAATTTCAATTCAGTCATACCAATGTTATTTAATTTAATCATTTATTTGTGTTTACGTCTTTATCGTTATCAGTTATTTCGAGAATTTGAAAGATCCGAGATCTTCCAAGGCGGGGAGCATGTTCGTGCTTGAATTGCGCAAGCCCGCATTTTTCTTTCTTTCTTTCTAGTTTCCATTCATTTCTTGATTCTAGGTTTAAGTTGGCAGGTCCGATTATCACTATGATGTGATTACGACAACTAGCAAGCGTGTTTATTTTATGTTCGTTACGATTAGATATAAAAATTATATTGAATAAAGCAAGTTTAACAGATTACTCAAAGCAGACATTATATACAGTCCATTTCCACAAAAACAGGCGTGTAACCCGTCGCGGTGTGCGGGGTCGTATTATATGCGAATATAGCGTAGGGTAACAAATTATCCCAATCGTTTTGATCTGCGTTTATAAAATGTCTTAGGTACTCTGCTAAAGTCCTATGAGATCGTTCTCCGTTGTTTTGCGGATGATAGGCCGTTGTTTGTATCTTATTAATCAGTAATTTGCATATATTTTTAAATATTTCGCTTAGGAAATTAGTACCTTGGTCTGTAAGTACCTTTTCCGGAATTCCGTATTCCAATATTATTTTCGTCGTGAATTACTTTGCAATAGTTACCGCTTCTTGATTCGGTATCGGTATTGCTTTGCTAAATTTAGTGAGGCTATCTTGAAATGTTAGCACGTATTTATTACCTGTCTCTGTGACGGTCAATGCTCCCACTATGTCCAGAGCACCCTTCTCGAATGGTTTCTCGGGAGTATCAGAGATAACCAAAGATGCTTGTATGCGTCGCGACGATTTATTTCGTTGGCACTGTTCGCATTTGCTTATGTAATTCTTCACATCTGTGGTTATTCCTCGTGTATTTTAACTGTATGCGTTTAAGGGTTTGATCAACCCCTTGATGTCTTCCTAAGGGCGCGTCATGGTATTCATACAGGATTTGCTTCTTTTCGTCTTCGCTGTATGTACGTTTCGTCTCGTCTTCCTTGTCGGACTTGTTATCTTCTTCGCCCTTAGTGTGTGTCGTCACTGCGTCTGTGTCGATGTGACATATGTCGCCTACGTATCTGCTTAGAGCGTCTGCATTCGCATTTGATTTTCCCGACTTATGTATTATTTCATAGTCGTATTCTTCGAGCTTCAATCTCCATCGGATTAGTCTCGATCCCAGATCAGTTATATTAAACAACCATATTAACGGTCTGTGATCAGTAATGATTTTAAATTTTATACCATATAAGTATGGTCTAAAGTGTTTAACAGCCCACACGATGGCTAGCAGTTCCTTTTCGGTGGTGCTGTAATTTTGCTCGGCGCGTGTCAATACACGGCTGGCATATGCGATCGGACGATCTTGACCTACCGCGCCTTGCGATAAGACAGCTCCAATGGCATAGTCTGATGCGTCCGTTGTTACTATAAATTTTTTACCGAAATCCGGATATTTTAACACTGGCGCACTTATTTTATAACTTGATTTTTATAACTTATTTTATAACTTGATTTTTAGATTATCAAACGCATTCTGCTGCTCAGTGATCCAATTTAATTTTTTACCTTTTCTAGTTAATTTGGTGAGTGGCTTTGCTATTCGCGAAAAGTCTTCTATAAATTTTCTATAGTAACCGGCCAGTCCTACAAATGCTTGTATGTCTTTAACTTTCTGTGGCGTGAAAAATTTTTTACGGCCTATGACTTGGAAGGGTCCGGTGAAATTCTGTTTTCTGTAATAATGTGCCCTAAATAAATTACTTCCTTTCGAAGGAATTCTTTTAAGTTACCTCCGCGTAATCGTTTTAAAACAGTGATCAGTCGATCATTATGTTCCTTTAGGCTAGCTCCGTAGATTACGATGTCATCTAAATAGACGAGACATTTAATTCCTTATAATCCAGTCAATATGGAGTTCATGAGACGTTGAAACGTTGCTGGCGCATTTTTTAATCCGAATGGCATTCTGTTAAATTCGTAATGCCCATACGGTGTTGAGAACGCTGTTTTATTTTTATCTTGCTCCGCTATTTGAATTTGATGGTATCCAGACTCAAGATCTAACGGAGTGAAATAATTAGCATTACCCAACTGATCTAATATATCAGTTATGTTGAGCAGAGGAAATGAATCTCCTATTGTGAGATCATTTAATTTTCGAAAGTCTATTACTATTCGAAATTTCGGTTTTCCTGATGCATCCGTCTTTTTCGGTACTACCAGTAGAGGTGCATTCCATTGGCTCATGCTCGGCCATACCAGGTATGTAAATATGAAACCGGAATTTTTTAATAGAAAATACACTTTTATTGCATGAAAATGATAAAAAATATTTTATTCGAAGTATTGTCCATCGTTAGCTATAGATTTTTCCCAACTGTCTGACAATTTGTGATGCCACGCCAAAAAAATTGTTGCTCTTTTGAGTCAAACCAGTCATCTAGCCATTTTCGTACATCTTCGTAAGAAGTGAAGCGCTGCTGAGCAAGTGCGT